GCGCCTCTGCCGCCGCACGCGAGCGGGGAGCGCGCGGGGGACCTGGCCTTGTAGTCCCCTGGCGTGACCGTCCGCGGAGTCCCTAGACGTTGCCTGCGCCCAATCCCCGCCACCCAAACCCCCTCTAGTTTTTCTCAGCACTGCGGAGCTCGTGCTGTGCAGGGCGGCTGTTGGTTGACTTCTGAAAGTTTAAATGCCTCTTTCTGCCCCATAATACGTTTTACTTCCTGGCGTTTCAAAGCAGAGAAACTTCTCCCTTCCCACAGAAGTAGAAGGGTTGGAAGCAAGGGAGGAGTCCGTTGTCGGATTTTTGAATACCTCTAATCACCGAAGGGTGAGAGCTATAGGTAGGGCACAAATGGTTAAAATAAAAGACACAGCCCGTAGATTACCACCAAATGGAGAGGGAAAAGGTCCAGAGAAGGCGCCCACTGGGTGGCTAAGAGGAAATGTTTCCTTTTATCGAACTGTTCGCTTTAGGCAATGTGGAAAGATGAAGATGGGCCTTCAGTCCTTGCCATGGTAGAAGCGGATTGATGTCTTAACCCGGAGCTGGCATTTGCCCTAGCTAAATCGTTACACATTTTGTAGATAGAGTATAATTTTCTGAAATGCTTAAACTACAAAATTGAAGTTAAGTGCACTTTTATGACTTTCAGTAGACTATAACAGGTTCTACAACGGATTAGCAAAATCTCCTCTCAGAGAATTTGAATGTATTGAGGACTTGCTGTGTGCAAAGCATTGATTAATGCTGTGGGAGATGCTAACTCAGATGGCATCTTCCCCGGTACAGTGAGAGAGATGAGACTGGGAGCAGACCATGAAGGTCCCCCAACCAGTAGGAAGTGGCAAGGCCATGTAAGACCAAGTGCTCTGACCCGTTAGGGTAACTCAGGTAGAGGAGAGGCAGGAAAAGTGGGAAAGTTTCTGTAACAAACGGCAGAAAGATTAGACCACCTGAGCAGGCTGATGAAAGCAAAGAGGTATAGACTTTATACAACTGGCAGAGATGGACTGACGGTAAGCAAGAGAGGACGGCCAGTCCTGAACAAGGAAAAGGCAGAAAGCTTTTTAGGGCACTCGAAGAGAGGTCTAACAAGTCTGTCATGTGCAGGGGACAGAGCAAATATTTGTGGTTGGGGTCCATGCAGCGATCCAGGCAGATGTATGGTTGTTTTGGCATTGAGAAGATGCTGTACTTTGCAGTTATCTTTATGCGGGGAACATCCTATCCTATGTTCTGTGTTTGAGATACCATGGCTGTTTTGGGAGGAGTCAGCACCTGCATCTGCTGCCTGTTTTATTGTGGTTTTTGTATCATGTCAATCTATAGTTTGGAATTAAAGAACATATTCATTAACCATTTCATGATCAGGTCAAGCCTGACAGCTTCTAAAACAGAAGTTCTGTAAATAACATTTAGTTGCAAAAGGTCATAAGTAGGTCTGTCCTTCAGGCTAGGGGATGACCTGAGCTCCATGTACATTTCTAGCATATTCTTTTCTCCAGGCTGATATGTATTCTGTAGGGGAGGAAATATATTGTTTCCTTTCTTATTGCTAGGTTCATGACTGAAGCCTCTATAAACAAAAGACAGATCAACAAGAGAAAAACATTAATTTATTTAATGTAAGCCTTAGGAAATGAACCAAAGAAATAGGGACAGCTGTATATTTTTAATGCTAGGTTTGATAAAGGAGGAGGTAGTTGTGGATAATGATTAAACATAGGAATTATGATGTAATGGTAATAAGTGGGGTGGGGGAATGCTCTTTGTTCAGATTTTCTGTGTCACTATGTCTTCAGAGATAAGCCTTCCCCTCCTTCTGGTACTGGGAGGGCACCTCACCAATGAGGGTCTTATAACCTGCTTCAGAGAGGGTGGAGGAAGGTGAGTGTGACCTTCCTGCTTCTGCAGTTTTGTCAAATACTAAGTGGGATATTTTGTCACGAACCCCATAAATTCTGACATCTCTCTCCAGAATGGACTTTCATCTTCACTGAAAATTGACTGAATAATCACCTCACTTCCAGATGTCCCTGTAGCTGTTACTACAGGGGTCCACCTCTGTGTTATGAAACTTGAATATTCCAATTGCTGGGGAATAATCTAAGTCATAATATGTTGTAACAATAGTGTCTTAGTCACTTTCCTCTTTGGAACAAAATACCCAACACTCACAACTTAAAGGAGGACTTTTTTTTTTACTCAGTTTCAGAAATTTCAGTCATGCTCAGCTGGCTCCAAAGTAGAAACCCACATGGAGGAAGGGTCTGGTGGAGGAAAAGTGGCTTATGTCGTGGTGCCCAGAAAGCAGAGAGAAAAGGGAGGAGCCAAGGAGGATGATATGTCCTTCCAGGAAGCAAATTTGAAGAGCAACTGTAAGCAGTTAAATAATTTGCATTGGCCAGGGATTTGTGGAACTGCATCCTATGTTATTGTTGGCCACATACTTCCAAAACTGGAAAGGAGATATTGTAGGAAATGGCTAATGTA